GATCGTGCACGCGGCGCGCACACACCTAATGGAATGGATATGAGCAAGCACTCGAAGAAGAACTTGTAGTTAAATTATCATATGACATAGTTAAGCATGATTGCATCTTGAGTAGACATTGCCAATTAGTATTGGAAGTGTAGGTGTGTTGCAGATTAGGATTTTATAGGGAAACTTGAACAATACTCTACAGCATCCAGTTTGTTGATTTCTACTACATATTTTGTTCTCATTTTGTATTCAGAACTTCCACTAATAACAATGGGAACTTCTTGTGCAAAAGAAAAGTTAGATCAGAGCTCAGTTAACTCTTTAGCATTTTATAAGGGTGACAAAAATACATACCAACAAAACAATTATTTCTTTTTTTCTCAAGAACTTGGCTGATATTTCGAACGCTACAGAGGGAGAATTTATTGTTGTTAAGCTTGTCTCCAGATGTAGCTCTTGCATACATGATATAATTGCCATTTTCTTTCTGCCCCAAGTTTTTGGACTCTCCTGGAGTGCATTCCGTTCCAGAATCATGCTGCAAAACAGAACATTGTAAACTATTTCAAGCAGATCAGTTTCTATTGGTTAATTTGCTATCTTTCTACCTATGTGTATAACAGACCTGTGTGGGGTAATAGGGTGAGAAACAAAAGCTCATACAAAATTGTTGCCTTTTTAAAAAGTGTACCCCACTTGCCTATTTCAAAAAGGTGAAGAATATCAGAAGCAAAGGATGAAATGGAAAGTCCACAACATCTCCATCTTAAATGTTAATGGTGGCTTATCAACCTGTGTGTGTGCTGGTTACAGCAACACAACACACACGCTCCTTTCTTTTACTGCTTTTAGGTTATATCCCAAAAGTTTTGGAGCACTGACAAAGTTAACTTCTGTGAGAGCAACCATATCATGTTTACACTAGAGAACTTGACTGTTCACTTGAAATGGTTAAATAAAACTGGCTTAAGCACAAATGGTTTGATGTATCCATGCTTAGCCACATTGACTAGTATAAAGAATCACAGCAGTTTTACACACTAGCACTGTTTTAGACTATTTCAGTTACAGTGCCCTCTGGGTACCTGTCCACAGTTCCTGGTATCTCCCAAAAGCAGAGGATTCTGAGATTTCTGAATACTACCAAGTGTTCTGTAGGACACTAATGGGAGGACCAGTGGAAACATTTCAGATAGTTCACATTCACACTGTAGGGAAAATGTGGACTTAAATATGATATGATTTGTGGGGGAAGTCCATTTCTATCCACACTATGGAGAACTGATAATTTATAACACCACCTGGTAACATACATGGAATACTTTACAATATAGACGTTTCAAAGATTATGATAAATGGCAAAAGCTTTTAAAAAATATTTGACAAGAGTAAGAAACCGTTTAATACCAATACTGTACTACCACTTTTGACAATTGATTTTCTCAGAATATGACCCATCCCTTCCAACATAAGTATATAAATGTGCACTTTTAAAATGGTATTACTACAAAAAGTAGCAAATTTTCTGACAAGTATATCCACTGACTATCCAAGATCAAACATGAGTTTCATAGGCAAGTTCAAAAATGATGTTTCAATTGGTCCAAAGAGATTTTCACTCTGACAGATTTCCTACTTCTTCAAATCAATGCATACTGTTAACATTCTGGATTCTTGTTCCTGCCAATATGGTAGAAGTTAGCTTAGTGGTTCATTTTCTAGTTTTCTAAAATGTAAAACTTTAAAAGTGACATGTAAAAGAGGAAATATTCTCCACTTTTCACAACCACTCATCCACAAATAAAAGACAAAAATAAAATCTCAAATTTTTCAGCGTGTCACAGACAAAAGCCTTGAACATAGCACGTGAAGACAACTGCTTCAAAATCCTATTACAAGTGTAACTCAGACAGTTGCTTCCCAAAATAAATTAAAAATCTTTAAAGGTATAAAAAATGCAAAGGGTACAAAGGAAAGCCAGTTTTATCCCCATTGTTGAGTGAGAGGACATAACCAAAGTTTTGCCTCATGAGCTGGGACCCTTGCCCTCACTCTGCATAAAATAAGAACTAATATTTACTTCTCACCAAAACACAGATGCACACGTATACACTTTTGAAGAGAGATGAGTAAGCTTTGTCCTTCAAAGGAAGTGGGAAGACTTTAGGAGAGAATAACCCACACTTTTTACAGAAGAGTAGTCATGAATAAGTGCAGTATAAGATAGGCTAAGCCAGTAGTTGCTGTAAGCAGCTAAATGAGAAATTAAGAATATTCACAAAAGTCCTGTTGCACCAAGTTCTTCCTTTTGTAGAACATTCATAAAGATCTTAACACATATTGCTTATCTGCAAAGTCCTTGCTTTTCTTTTGCATGCATACCTAGATGAATTGTTTTTATTAGCATACACATAATAGTAAAAGGTTTAAGTTACAAAATGTTTTCATCATTAACAAGTTATGCCTCCCAAAACAAAATGTGTAATGGAGCAACACTTAATACTTACAGGAGAACCAAAGTTATGTCCAACCTCATGAGCAAAAGTGATGTGAGAAACCTTAGGAGGGACGTGAGAGCCATAGTTCTGAACAGTGATGATTCCAGTATTTAAGGACTTCTTTTTACCATCAGAATAGAGTTTGCTCTTTTCACATATTCCACCAGAGCTCCCTGCATTTAGAACAAGAGTTAAATAGCTCAAAATTAAAACATTTTGAAAGAAGAGAGGTGAGTTGTATTTTTTGTTCTGTATCTTAGTTGAAAACGTACTCTAACAATATTACAATATTGAAAGTGTGTAGAGTGCCACATCAGTTTTTTTTAATCTAAATTCCATTTGGTTCTCCTTTTCAAGTAAAGAATATACTATTTCTGAATACAAAAAAATTCTTTCCAGTATCAAGGAAAAAGGCTAACATTCACAATGTTCAGTTGCGTATACTTCAAATCTGCTTTTAAATAGTATCTTCCATTTTTTCCCAAAAGTACTTGTAAAAGGCCTAAGATTAGCCACATATCCTAGTGAGAAGGAGTGACTCATTTCTTCGCAGTACAATTTAAAACTGAAGTGTGGTTTTGATAGTGGTTAATCATATGTGTTTAAAGGTCAACAATCAAGGAAGTTACACCCAGTGTTTGAAAACGCAGTCCTGAGACTGTTATTTTGCTGTAAAAACATTTTCAGAATCGAGAACATATGCTTTCTAAACAAGTTTTGTCTTGCTAAAGTCAAGTTGCAGTTCAGCAAAATAAGTCATATGAGAATAAGTACTTCCAGGAATAGTCTCACAGGGGAAGGGTGATAAAGATTCATACTTCAGCACCTATAAGTCAGTGAGTAAAAAGTCCAAAGTGGAGCCTTACTACACACTCTATATTCACCCATACATTTCAATGCAGCAAGTCTTAAAGGACAACCTATCTTCCTTTCATACTACAAAATATAATCAGATTCCTAAAATCCTCCTTAAACAGACTAACAAAACATTCCTTAGCTGTACATCCAACACCTGTTAGTCATCCAGACTCTATGTAATACACCCCTTGATTAAGAAATCCTGTACAGATGTGAGATAAAACGTGATGCTAACTATCTAATAGATGCACATGAATTAAGGGCGAAATTCACCAACTAAGTATGTTTTATGCAGGTAAAGTTCTTGTGAGTGGTGCTTGCAAAATCTACATTCTATCAGCCCTACCCCACTATGCCGCCATGCTTTCCCAGCCAATGGACCAAAACAGACTCTCTGTGCCACATACATGGAGCATTAGGGCATGTATTGAATTTCCTGTGACTCTTCCTCAGGACAATCAACAACACTGGTCTGACTGATTGATGGATTGGCAATCCCTCGATTCGAGGATGATCTCTACCATGGATTTACATATGGGTCCTGAGATGACTCTGGAGTCTGATCCTGGAACCGCAAATCTGTCCTGAGTAGGTACATACATTTTGTGACAAGACGATGGCATGCTGGGAGAAAGTTATTTCTTTTTCCTTCCTCCTCTCTTTTCAGCTTTGAGGACAAGGTGCTTCTCCTCGAAACATGCCACTGCCTGATGGAGGATATGGCACCATTGGGGTCGGTTGCTGGCTTGCTCTTCCCAGCTTCTGCTGTCCACACCAGTTTTCTTAAAATACGCTTTCAGTGTGTCTTTGATCTCAGACCATGGGTGAGTGAGAGTTAAGGACTTGTTTTGGGAGGCGAGAGTTTGGCATCTACACACAATGTCCAGCCCAGCTAAGTTGGTGCATGAGAATCATTGCTTCAATGATGGTGACAAGGATGCTGGCATTAATGTGGCGATATTGCCATTTGATGTGAAGGATCTTCCGGAGGCATCGATGGTGATACCTCTCCAAACTCTGGAGGTGCTGCCGATAGGTCACCCAGGTTTCGCATCCAGGGAGGAGTGTTGGAACAACAATTGTCTTATAGACCTGGATCTTGGTGTCCTGCCATAGGTCATGTGCTCTGAAAACGCATCGGAGCAATGGAAGCACTTGCGCACTGGATTCTGTGCTGGATCTCACTGTCGATTTTTGCATTTTGAGAAAGTTGGCTACTGAGGTAGCAAAAGTGCTCAACTGTCTCCAGAGTGACACTCAATGGTGATTTGTTCTGGGTCATGTTTAAGGCCTGAAGCAGGTTGATAGAACGTTTTCGTCTTCTCAATATTGAGAGAGAGTCCTAGGCTTCGGTAAGCTTGTGCAAGAAAATCCAGTATGGACTGAAGGTCATTCTCAGTGTGTGCGAGGATGATACAATCATCAGCATACTGACGATCAGTAATAGACACCCTGAAGACATTAGACTTTGAGCAGAGAAGAAGATTAAAGAGCTGCCCATCCAGTCAATTCCATTGGGGGAGATGATCTCGATTGGGCAGAGATCAGCATTGGTCTATACAGAAGTGATATACAGATTCCTCTGTGTTTCAGGGGGGCTCTCTGCACCCTCGTAAAAGGCCAATTCACCTGCATAACCTAGTCAGAAAATCTAAGTGGTAGAGACGACAGACATGAATTGCCATACCAATCAGACCAGAGATCCATCTAGTCCAATATCCTGTTTCTGTCAGTGGTTCTTACAAGATGCTTCAGAGGAAGGTGCAAGAACCCCCACTATAAGGGCTAGTGTGTCCCCCACATTATATCTCATCCTAATCTAATAGCTAGATTTTTCTGAAGGCCTGAAGCATGAGAGGGTTTAATATCCCTTCCAAAATGTGTAAGCTTTGATTATAATACTGGACATTCTTGTTATCCACATAAATGTCCAACTTTTTTTTAAATCTTGGTGAACAGTTCTTTGCCTCAATGACTTCCTGCGGCAATGAGATCTACAGTCTAATTACTCATTATGTGAAAAAGTATTTCCTTCCTAATTTATCAGTTTTTAATTCACTGAATGTTCGTTCCTTGTTCTTGTGTTATGAGACACAAAGAGCAGAAGCTCCCGATCTACCTTCTCTGTGACATTTGTTTTTTATGGACTTCTATCCCTGCCTAGGTGTCTCCATGACATTACTGAAAATGACCGCACAGCAGGACGGGACACAATAGTGAAAACAGAAAAGTCATTTGGCTGGGGGAAAATGTGTCCAATACTTAAGACACAAGTAGGATTGATAGTATTACCTAGGTATTGGATAGCTTTAAATGAATTTAGTTCAATTTGATCACAACCCTAAACATTTGTATTAGTTTTCAGCTGGTGAGTGGCGATTTTATTGTTTACAAAACTCAAGGGTGTAGTCTGATAGTCGTTTTTATAAATATGTAGACTATAAAATAATTTACACTAGATTTATTTTCAGACAAAAATACCATTGAAACTTGTGGTGAGAAACTGGGCTGAAATTGGTCAGGAAATTTTTGAATGATCAAAAATAGTAGCTTGCAGTTAAAAAAAAGCCATTTCTTTTGTTATCACTAGGCGCAGAGAAAGTCTGATGGAATAGAGTAGAACTTTCTGTTTCAAGTCCTGTCCCATATGGACTTTGGCCCCCAGTTCCTTAAATGAATAACTGCTCTTGACATCAGCCCAAAAGCAGCTGTGTGAATTGATGGAGTTAACTCCTTTACTTGAATTACCCAGAGAGTAGACAGGGATGTCTAATGTCTCTTCTACTTTCTGGACTGGCCACAGAGCCTTTTGCTCAAAGGACAATGAATCCATCACAGGAATGAAACTTGCAGGACCACATCAGAAAATAGCATATATAGATGTAACATTTTTATCTAAATCAAATATTCTCTAAAACTATTCGCTAAAACAATCCAGGATTTTGGGAAAGTCTGGATTTAAAATAAAATTATGCCAAATCTGAAATACTAGCTATAAATTTGCCAGACCCTGAAAAGTCACTCCTCCAGAAAATGTTTGGGTACAAATGGGCAACAAATTCTATAAGATACATGGGAATTCAAATCTCAAAACAACCTAGAAGAGCTTCTATCATTTAAATGTTAACCCCCTACTTCAGCAAATGAAAAAAGATTTGGAGTGCTGGAGGACGTAAGCAATTTCTTGATTGGGAAGAACAGCCACCATCAAAATAAACACTCTGCTAAGGATATCTTTCTTGTTTCAAAATCTTTCTATGATTATCCCAGATACAAACCTAGCAGGAATACAGAGGGTGCTGTTACAATTTACATGGAATAAGAAAAGGCCAAGAGTGAGTGCAGATACTTTGTACAGATCCATTAAACAGGGTAGACTAGCCGCTCCAAATAATCTATGGCGGCGTTTCTCAAAAAGGGGTCTGCAGGCCCTGCTGATCAACTCTCCTACCCCTCCCTCCCAGCGCCTCCTGCATGCTGGGGAACAGATGTTCCCGCTGGGAGGGAGGGAGAGGAAGGGGGACAGGGGTGCTTGGGGGAGGCAGCAGCAAGAGGCAGGGAAGAGGAAAGGCGGGGTGGAGCCTTGGAGGAAGGGGTGGTGTGGGGCGGGGCCTGGGGCTGAGCGGGTGGCTTGGGGGTCCACAGCAAATTTTAAAATCAAAACTGGGGTCCTCAGGTTACTAAAGTTTGAGAATCACCAATCTATGGTATTATCAAGCCAGCCAGCTCAAAGCAGGAGTGGAGTGGGGGGTGCCCAGACAAACATTGGGTCTTTATTGAACAGAAAAATTGTGACAGTGTAAATCTCTAGGCTACTCCAAAGTTTACACACACATCCTTTAGTAAAGGCTACTCTATGGGTTTGGGATAGAATTAGAGAAATTCTTTCCCCTTGCCAATCACACCCATTGCAAATACTCTAGATCTTAACCCAAATTGCAAACCAAAGAGCTTCAAAGATTGGGAGAGCCATGGAATACACTTGGTTGGCCAGCTATTCAGTAAAGAAACTTTCCTAACTTATTTAGAGATCACAACTAATTTTAACTGGCACTAGTACTTTCAAGTAAGGCATTATGTTTCTCAACTTTCTAGAAAACCTGTTTGATACAAAAAGCTAACAAATAGAAGCGCTGGCATCTGGTCAATGAGGAAACAAAAAAATAGCTAATTTGTATTAATCTTTGCAGACAGCTTTTCTAATAAAAAAAATTCATATATGACTCACTGTGGAAAGGATGTGGATAGACAAATTACCGCAGAGAAAGGGGGCTTAGTCCGGGGGGGGGGAGGAGAGGACCAGTAACCTCAGTCTGACGCACAATAAAAAATTCTTGAAGATACTGTTTCAATGGCCCTTCAAACCAACCAGGCTAAAAGATATGTTCCATTCAGTCCTTAGAGAGTATTTGGATGCAATCCACAACCAAATATCACAAATTGTTGGGTATTTATTACCAAAACGATCTCTCGGTAATCTTTCTAGTGGAAATGGTCACACAAGAGGAAATGAAGAATTAATCTCATCTGGTAGTAACTGCTTGGCTATTGGTAGCCTCTCACTGGAAAAAGAAACAGTCTAACCATAGAGGAATGGTTTAAAAAAAAAAAAGAGGTTGTAGTTATGGAAAAATTAACATAACTATGTATCCAGTAAGAGACAGAAGACCGATAGATACATAGATATAGGGTTACTTTTTATTCAATATTCAAAGTACATCCCCCTGCAAAAAACCCAGCACGCCTATCCAGTTTTTTTAACATTTGATAGACACGCCTGACCTGTTAAACATGTATATTGAGATTTCACTCAATTTAATAAAAATCAGTAGAAATGGCATATTACAGGTGTTTTAATGATGCTCACTCTGTAATACAACACCCTATTAAACAGAAATATCTGATGACTATACTCCTGTATGTCTCATTAAACAAAAATTAACTGTTTTAATAATTGTTTTGTTTCTGATATTTACATGGCCAGGACTTGTCAACTTGTTAAAATTTCCTAAATAGTTAAAAATAGTAGCTTGGTCAGATGCTTGTGAATATATAAAGAAAACAAAAAACCCCACAATGAGAACATTTTATAGTTGTGGGAATGCAAAAAATGTTTTTCATAACTACAGTTAACTTATTTTGTGTATTTTAGACATGATGTAATTAATAAGCTCTTGTGGAACCATGGACACTAACAAGCCTGGGTTTGCACAGCTGGAATATTTAATGAGACATAATAAGTCTATAAAAATTTACATTTACACAAAGCGTAGACACAGTATTGGGAAAGTGAGGTTAGAGTCTTATTTCTCAGGCTGGGCATGTAACATCCAACACTGGTAAGATATCCAAAAATAAGAGATGCCATACAGACTTATCAGTTCCAAACTATTCATCTTGTAAAACTAACGTATCCAGTGTGTTCCAAACAGCTCAAACCTAACATTTCCTAAAGGATCAATTATACAAATAAACAATATGGGGCAGCCAAAGCAGCAGCTGTTATTTTTTGGCAACTCAAGAACAATTGTTTTAAACTAATATGCTTAACATTTCCAATTTTTCACGTTCCTGAAAATGAAGTTGAACCAACAATCCTAACTCCAGGCCATGCAGGGCACCATTTAACACAAACATCTACTACTTCCCTTGAAATAGAGGACACTGCTGCCAAATACCACAAGCTGCAGTGAAAGATAACAAGGCCAAGTTTTTCCATTAGTGATCAGCAAGCTTTCACATATACTACAGTGAGAACAAGGAACAGCCACCTATTGAATTCAATGTTGGATACCAAACAAGATTAACTAATTCACATGCCTTGCTCATATTCAGAAGTTTCTAGCAAATCAAATTCTAAATTTCATCCTCTCCTCTGCTTCAACTTCCAATTTGATTCCACTCACTAGCCATGTCCCTGTTCTCAATTACAAGTGACTTCACCCATTCCTCTTCCTCTACTTCTATAGAAGTTTGTTTCCCAATAAGCCTAAGCCTTGAAAATAAATCTATGTTCTAAATAACTTAACTTAACTGTATTCTATGTTTATTCAGTTAGAATCTGTTTCTAATATAAAAATAATATGTTCATGTAAATATTTTGGTGATAAAAAATGAAAGCCTCAAAAAACTATTTTCCGGGGAGGGAGGGAGGAGAGGGAATAGAATAAAAAGGTTTTTTCCACAATCCTGAATTTGAACTAAAGTTTTCTTTTCACAATAAATTTTGATTAATGTTGTTATAGCAATATTTCTAGTTACTTCTAAAAAAATTTGAACATACATACATACACACACACACACACACACACACACACACACATATATATATATAAAGAACTACAGGTTAAATTGATATTTTCATATTTTATTTCGCATACTATCTGATTAGTTTGTGAGGATTGAAGACTATCAGAAATTCTTTATCTTCAAACAGGAAATTTTCCTACCACTGACTTTCTAAGTAAAGGGATAGAAGTTATTAACTTGTGAATTTTAGTGTTTATTTTATTTCAAATACAGTTTGGTCATTCAGGGAATTAAATGGACAAGTCCAAGTTAACATTAAAAAAAAAATCAAGAGAATTACAGTAGTACTGATAAAACTACCCAAGTTACTGAGAACACAATTTTGTAAATAAAATCCACAGCATAGTGAAAGTTGAAATTTAAATTTCATCTATGCTGATTAACTGATTGACCAAAGAAGTTATAGGAACTAGGAAGTAAAGGGTATGGTCCAAGAAGACAAAAAAGCAGCACTGCAGCAGTGTGTCATCAGAAGTATGAAGAGACAGTCTTCGTGTCAGACTTGTCTAAAGAAAAAGCCTTTGAGTATATTAGAGAACAAACCAAGCATGACCTTATCTGTAGCACAAGACTTACACTTTCTGGTCACAAAATGGATATGAGAACAGGAAAGTATGGTAGGTTATCCATTTAACATTCAGATACTCTAGAATTAAGTGAGGTATGATCACTTAGATTGAAAGAATGTTGCAACTAGTTTTCTCCATCCATTAGACATTTGTTGACCTCCAATATTATTCAACTGCTGTTTTACAGTAACAATACAGGCTCTTTTCTGCAGAGGGAGCTAGTTGCCTATCCACATGGATGAACAGACTTTCCTTGTCAGGTGGTAAATGGTATTTCTCCAATGGAGAAAGTCATTCTCTAGAAAGATTTTCTCTTGTGTCACACTTGAGCAGGCATAAAACACTATTGGAATAGCAGATTTTTGTAGCTCCAATGAAAGTTATCATGAAGACTGTTAAATTTCTCCACATGACATGACATAGTAAAGTGCTTTCAGGAAATACTTAGACACTGAAAATTAAGACACATGGCTGAAATGAAACTGGTCAGAGTCTCAGTGAAATTTAAAGACAAATCATCTAGGAAGGGCAAGTACAGATATATTGTTTCAGTGTCTCTGCACACATCACTGCATTGGTTTATACTCTGTTCAGATTTCCAAGTTATTTGTATCCGTAAGAGCTGGAAGCCACAGATCCTGGAGTACAAATCTATGGCAAGATGTGAATTCTATGGCTGTAGAGTGTTGTATAATACAAGGAGCCTTGCTTATAGTTTATTCAAAGCACTTCTGACACCTTTTTCATTTCATTGGTCACTCATACCTGGCCAAGTGTCTGCCCAGAGAATTAAGGTGCTGTTCTAAAGGAAAGCAATGAATAGGGGAATCTGTATGACTCAAATAGTTAGTGGCACATGATGTATTGATATTTACATAATTTCACATCATACATTATCAAACTGTGAAGAATCAGACCTACAATGTTGGAAAAATTTCAGTAAAGTCAACAGTTGATACTTTTCTTCCTTTCTCCTACTTAAAAATACTTGACTTCTGTAAGAGAGTACTCTAGTTATGGATTAATTACCTGAAGGGGCTCCAACCCAAGCCAGACCAAGGACACCATCATCAAAATCACGGTCAGTAAATACATAGGCCAAGCAATAATCATCATGATTCTGTTCAGAGTTCAGTTCCAGAAACTTCTCCACACCAATATTAGGAAATCTGAAGGGATTGGAAGGGTCTCTCTCATCAACAGTTGTGTTGATCTAAAAGTAAATTCAAATTTATACTGAATCAAACATTTCATTTTCGTCTGGCTAATACAAGGTTGCTAAGAAAGACTTCCTATTACCAACTCTGATGTCAAATAATAACATCAATATCTAAAGATTTATAGACACTACATATCAATTCATAATATCTGGAAAATACTGAGTCCTAAAGTGAACTTGTTTCATAAGACAACATAACTGCATTTATGCGGCAAATTACAACCTCCTTCCTCTTCCTTCAAATACTTCCTTCAGACAAACTTCATCCACAAGAATTAAAAAAAGCGTATTTATAACCTTAATTCTACATTTTTGAGATGAACTTTCATCTGGTTATTCAGTTGACAGCTATATCTACTTTAAATGCAAGTTCCTGGAGCAAAAAGATTGTATTATATCCTATAATATACACTGATGGCACATGCTACATCATAGCACACAAAGGTAAGAATGTTTAGATACAGCTAAAAACAAGAAAGATTTGTAAAAGTGTCATATAAAGTAAAACTGCATGCTCACATTAAATCTCCAATATAAAACTAAGAGCAAGGTTTTAGTATTATGAGCTATACATAAATTCCATTCAGCTCATTGTACTGTGAAAGGTTTCAGAGTAGCAGCCGTGTTAGTCTGTATCCGCAAAAAGAGAAGGAGTACTTGTGGCACCTTAGAGACTAACAAATTTGTTAGTCTCTAAGGTGCCACAAGTACTCCTCCTTTTCTTTGTACTGTGAAAGTCTCTCAAAGATATTTTTCTGAGCACAAACATGCACTAAGGCAGAAGCTGATGAGAGATTTTTTTTTTTTAAACTGAACACAACAAGATGTGCTACTATGCACAGAGCAATTTCATGTGTAACAACCTAAAAGTTGGAGGCCTAAAAGCAATTTACAGAAGGAAGTTTTTTTAAAAAATTGCACTTTGGTCTTTTGCTTTTTTATAATGTATAAAGGCAGCCTTTTAATCTTTTATCTTTAAAATAAAGAGAGTCAGGTATAAAGTGATCCAGTCTGGTTTGACCTTCCCTATTTTTTCAGGAGGAACTTTTCAGGGGTCTGGTGTATTGTGAGTTACCTCACACCTTAACCAAAAAAGCTGAAGTGCTGACTCTTCAAAAAAAGACCTCCTTTCTCCCAAGCTGTTTATATATTAGTTACATAGATGTTACAAAGAAAAAAAAACCAAGCCTATATTTTAACACTAGACTAAAATCCCTTCCTCGCAATTGCTCCCCCTTTTAGTTGGTCTCTTGTAGTGTCAGATATCCTTCCAAGGTAGATAAATACATTTTAAGGCCAAAAGAGACCAAGAAGATCACTTAATCTAACTTCTTGCCTAAGAAGAGTCAGAGTTACACCTGTGCTGGAGGGAATTAACCCTCTCCTCCCACTACATAAACAAACCCTGTTTAAAAGACCCACATTTCTAACTTTCGAAGCACACCACTTATCACACACATAGAATTTCAGGCTTTCTTTGTACGTCAAAGCAACAAAAAGGGAACAAGCACAACAGTTTTCTCCTTTGCATGTCCCCTTTAACAACTAAATGATGTTTCTTTATATCAATGTACTGACTACATTTTCCCCACCAATGAAAGAACCATTTTAAGGATAAACTGGACTTTAAAATTAGGAAGCAAATTTCTGCAGTGACCATTGGTTTAAAGCATCAAATATAAGCAGTTTTAAAAAATACTGTAACAGCCCCCAAGTAAACTCCTATATTTCTACTGTATTTCCTTTCCCATCACTGCTGATAACCAATATGAGAAGCTTTGTCCCTTAAATTAGTCCGCTATGTCAAACACTGAACTGAAACATCACAAGGCTATAATAAAAGCCATGGCAATGTGAATATTAAGATTGCAAGAGCACTGAAGAAATTAGGTAGGAGGACAATTATAACAGACTGTTTTTAACATGAAAGTATCAAATTCAGCAGATAGTTTAAAAGAATTATTGTCATTTAACTAACATTCCTCACATTCAACAGATATGTCTGCAACAACAGAATTACTTACTCTTATTCGTTTCACCATGAAACTGATGTTACGGATTCCTGTGAAATCTGTTGACTGGTAAATTGTGTCAATTGCTTTAACATGACTGGATATCTATTAATCAGAAAGACAAGCTGAAGTGTTTACAGTCAAAAAATGTTTTCTACCTATTATGCTACACAAGAAAACTTCAATGCAAGCATCTTCACATGCAAATTAACTTTCACTCATATGTGATAGGCATTTTTAATAAAGTACCCATGATGAATAATCAGTGTACATCTACAGTAAATTACATAGTTCAGACCATAACAATCTTAGATATCCCCTATTGCTAAATTAACTTTACTCACCCAATACAAATAACTGGAAACAGTTATGATATATTTGTTTGTGACAGCCATTTAATTCACCCTAACATCAAAGTACTGTGAAAAGTATCCTCAAAGGATTGCATTATTTTAAAGAATGATATGCTGGAAGAGTTTTAGACAAAATTTAATTGTAAATTGTCACTGCATATTATTCTATTTTTACTAGAAAGCAAATATGAAAAATTTGCCTTCTTAAGAATACAGGATAAAGTTTTCAAAAGCACCTAAGTGACTTTAGGATTAGAGTGACAAAGGGACTTAGGTGCCTAATTGCCACTTCAAGTGGGCTGATGTCCAATATTTAGGGATCAATGAGATCCTCAAAAAACCCCACTTAGCTGGCGTCTAACAATGAAGTCACCTAAATTCCCATGCACGTTCCTGCCAGTTGGCCTGCACAAAACTGCTTAAGTCTTGATGCTATCAAAGCAGCTTGATTCCCGCCCTCGCTTGCACCTAAACACCTGTGAACTTCTCAAACTAAGCGTTCCTCTGCCTATCTCACCTAGGAAGCCCAATCTAATAGGTGTGCTTAGAGCACATCTAATCCGTGAAAAAAAAAAAGACAGCTGGGGTTGACCAGATCAGGAATTTGGGGGAACGGGAAGGGTGGATGTGTGTCCAATAGTCCAATGGTTAGGGCACTCACTTGGGATGGGAGAGACCCATCTTCAATCTCCACTCCGCCTGATTTGGAGCAAGCACTTGAATGCAGCTCTCCCACATTCCAGGTGAATGCCTTAACTCAATTTCTCCTGTTCAAACTGTTCCACTTTATATAAATAGATATTCATTGGACCAAAGATTGACTGTAAAGCCCAGTGCACAACTCCTCGAGAGGGTTCACAGCTATGAATGTTGAGCTGAAATAGGCATCTAACTCTGGGTTGGAGGGAAATGCCTAACTACCTTTATGTGGCAGGGCCTAAAGCCCACCCCTTTCCTTGGTATTTCCTACTGGCTAGCTTAGGCTGCTCCCCATTCCGCTTGTTGCCTTTTTCTGAATCCCATTCTTAGGCACCTAACTCTCACCATGCATTGCCTAAATTGGGGCTAAGGATTCCTACCCGGCAGCTGGGCGCCTAAAAGTTTAAAAGTGTTGCAAAGCTTAAGTCCCTTTGTGGACTCGGGAGCCCAAGCCCCATTTTCAAAAAAAGAGACATAGGCTCTTAAGTCCTGCTGACTTTCAATTAGGTGCCTAATTATCTAACTCACTCTTGAAAATGGGACTAGGACACTTCTGAAAACATTACCCATAATGAATTGTAGCGGTACAGTCTAATGAACTAATAATCTACATTAAATTAGATGCAAAAATGGGCTGTGAAGCTACATAACACTTCACCTAGATTTTTCAGCAAACATAAGAGGAACCAAGAAAGTAAGTTTCCTGGCTAGCTATTCATTGAAATAAGTGAGGACTGTCTACTTTTAGTTTCTTCCTGCTGCTTCTCTGATCATCTACTGAACTTGCTGCTATAGGAGTAGGTCTTACTGGACACGTCTATACCGCTGCTGGGAACACGCGTCCTAGCACAGGTAGACAGACTCACTAAAACAGCAGTGTGGACGTTGTGAGACAGGCAGAGGGGCTCAGGCTAGTCACCCAAGTCCAAGTCCTCCTGACTCCTTGGGTTTGCGCTTGGGTGGCTAGCCTAAGCCACCACCTGTGCTGCTATGGCAACACTGCTTCAGCATGTTCGCGCAAGCAGAGCTAGTATGATCTGTCTACCCAGCCTAGAAGGCATGCTCCCAGGTGCATTGCTGACATACCCACAGTCATTAACTGAAAGTGCTCAGAATTTACATTGTATAGCTTTCCTCTTGAAATGCTAACATATCATTTTTTCAGACTTTCATACAAATCTGACATCTCCAGAAGGAACTATTTTCTTAAACTATGAGCTTGGGGCCCGATTTTTCACAGGTGCTAAACATCCACAACTCCCATTAAAGAGAGGTCCAAGCGCCTAGCACCTCTGAACATTGGGCACTTGGTACCCTTGTGGTGGGTCAATGAGAAAGCTGCCTTAATAATGCCAGGATGGCAGTAGCAGATGAAAAAGTGTATCCAGACCTGAACATGAAAAGCACCATGATAAAAATGCATTCATTTGTCTAGACTATTCCCCCTTAAAGAGAAAAAGAACAGACTCCTGAAATAGTGACTAAAGGCTTACAAATACCTGTGCAATCACAGCTTCCCTTGTTCCATAATGCTTATAGAATAGATGATCAGTCTGAATGTAGAGCTGACAAGTATTTTTTTCAGCTTGAGCTGCACGTTTTTTTCTTAAAAGCTCTGGACCATTGATGTTATGTTCTTTGTAGGGTTTCTATATATATAGAAATTAGAAAGCAATGAAGCATTAATTTTGTACATATTCTTTTAAAATTAAGTAATTTAAAAGCACTAATGCCTTTTACAGGAGTGTAGTATTTTTAAGAGAAAAAACACATTAAGAGCTATATTATCCTATTTATTATATAAAAGTTTCTTAAACCTTGAACTAGGCTAGTCTTCAAATAGGTCATCTACTTCATAAGCACACTTTACTCATAACTCCTCTGTGAGCTTATCCCTGTAATTTGGAATATAGCCAACAAAAATAGAGAAGTTTTGGTACCATCGTAGAGGAATTCTGTGCCTCTAAAACCTAGTAAACCATAATAGAAAACTATGTAGCTCTTTGCAATGGTGGATAAACAACAAAATCCAATTTGTAGATATAAAAATCAATTCTAGAAGTGTTTCCTCACCACAACAAAAAGGTTGTTTCTTAGAGTAGTAATGTTCTGAAGTGTTATTAACCTGAACAAGCTGAAACACTCCAATATGTGCTTGAACGTGGAATGAAGTATTACCAAACAACAGCCAGAATAACGCATCCACTATTTCTGCCATTCAGAGCACTGATAGCTAACACATTTGCCTTAGCGAGCTAGGGCCCTACCAAATTCACGGCCATGAAAAATGCATCACGGACTGTGAAATCTCGTCTCCTCCCGTTAAATCTAGTCTTTTGTGTGCTTTTACCCTATACTATACAGATTTCACAGGGGAGACCAGTGTTTCTCAAACTGGGGGTCCTGATCCAAAAGGGAGTGATGGGGAGGCGCTCACAAGGTTATTTTACGGGGGTCGCGGTATTGCCACCCTTACTTCTGCACTGCCTTCGGAGCTGGGCAGCCTGCAAGCGGCAGCTGTTGTAATTGTACGGATCCTGACCCAAAAAAGAGTTATGGGGGCAGGGGGATCGCTAATGCTACCCTTACTTCTGCGTTGCTGCTGAAAGCAGCACTGCCTTCAGAGCTGAGCAGCTGGAGAGCAGCGACTACTGGTTGGGAGCCCAGCTCTGAAGGGAGAGCTGCCATCAGCAGCAGTGCAGAAGTAAGGGTGGCAGTAGCGAAACCCTCTCCCCCCCACCCCCACTCCTTTTTGGGTCAGGACCCCTACAATTACAACACCATGAAAGTTCAGATTTAAATAGCTGAAATCATGAAAGTTAGGATTTTTAAAATCCTATCACTGTGAATTTGACCCAAATGGGCCATGAATTTGGTAGGGCCCTATTTATAGCCCATCATCATCTAGTAGGTCATGTCTACACATGGCAGTTTTGGGGGGAAAGTCCTGCTGCTCCCAACACTGGATCCATCTGCACTGGCTTAATTGCACTAGTGTTAGCAATTTCTTGAGCCACAATGTAAATAGGGTTTTGGCTGCCAGTGCTGTTTTCAGCAGAGTGTCATCTAACCGCTAAAGGTAAATCTATTGGACAGCTCTGAAAAATAGTCATGACAGTTGAAACTGTCCACACTAGGAATCAGGACATTCCTAACACTGGAAAGAAAGTTTTTAGCTAGAGACAAGACTTGGAGCAAATCCATAATGTAATAGATTATATGGTGGAATCTGAGATGGATACGGTCAGTTTTGGAAGACTCAATTTAGCGAGTTGACTTATTACCTAAGATAATTAAAATAAAGTTGAAAGTACTGTAGCATAAGGGACCGTGGGTGCAATTTTCAACATCTTAGTGACTTAGCACAATTCTCACTGATTTTCAGTAAGACTTTGGCTCCTAAAACACTAAAGCACTTTGCAAATCCCATCTGAGCAGGTCTGTTGACAGTAAAATTAATTTAAGCCATTAGCATCTGAACTAGGTTTTACCCTTCAAGGACAGAAAATGAATGCAATTTGCTTTGTGGCCCTTTCCAGAATATGTAGGGAATGAAGGAAAGAGACTGTTTCAGGTGTAATTAGCTGTATTTACAAGATTTCCTCACTGAAAGCTCCAAAAATATATTAACATATAGGGTGGAATATATTAAAAGAAAATTTTAGTGCTTATTAAAATGAGACACAAACCAGTCTAAACTAAGGTATAGTCCAATGGAAGAAAGAATGAGATGACAATAATAATGTTTTTAACAGTATATGAACATGTAGTTTTACTGAGATTATGGTATTCACGTACTAGTTTACTCTGTGCTGTTGTTTTTACTGAGGGTGGAGTGAAGGTTCTTTTTAAAGAAGGCAATGTTGTATTTAAGGAGTACAACCTTATCTAATTTTCAACCTTTTTTTCAGCTAAAAGGTTCTTGAAAGGTAACACTCAGATATGTATCTGCAGCCTTAATAGTTTCATAATCAAGTTTTGTCTTTCGGAACTAATATGAAACTTGGCAGAGCAAAGGACTTGGAATTATTTTCTTTCTTCCTGAGATTTGCAGGAGTGGAAGCCCTCATCTGTGCATCTCCTAATATCCACTAAAGAGTATTTTGCCTTTGCTGAAGGCTAGGAGACGCTAAGATGGCTAGGAGAGGATTCCCTCCTCTGTGCACATTCTAAAACAGGAGTAGGCAACCTATGGCACGTGTGCCGAAGGCAGCATGCGAGCTGACTTTCAGTGGCACTCACACTGCCCGGGTCCTGGCCACTGGTCCGGGGGGGGGACGGGGGACGGGACACCTCTGCATTTTAATTTAATTTTAAATGAAGCTTCTTAAACATTTAAAAAACCTTATTTACTTTACATACAACAATAGTTTAGTTATATATTATAGACTTGTAGAAAGAGACCTTCTAAAACGTTAAAATGTATTACTGGCACGCGAAACCTTAAATTAGAGTGAATAAAAGAAGACTCAGCACACCATTTCTGAAAGGTTGCCGACCCCTGTTCTAAAATATGTAGGCAGTGAGGGGAGAAATTAGGAGACTAAAAAGATTACAAGAGTCAGCACAGAGGGGCAATTCTCCCCTTCTTCCTGTGGATCTCCCAAGGTTCTCATAAGGAACACCTAAACTCCTGTGCATCCTAGTAGAACTAAAGAAGTAGGGCTCCACATTGGTTAAATTTTAAGTGCCTTTCCACTCAAACTTCCATTGCCTGCTGCAGACATTCTGAGGCTCATTTTGATCCCACACCTATTCCACTCATGTTCTTTAATTTGCCCCTGGAAGGTGCTCAGATTCCATAGTGATGAATATAGTACAAAGAATCTACGTGTAACAAAATGAACTACGTGCAGACATAAGCAACTCCTGGGTCCGCTGTGGCCTGTAATCAATAGATTGCTCTTCAAGAACCAACCTCTCTTCCCTCTCCCCAGAAACCTTAGGAAGCTGGTTAGTCTTCAGTGGGTTAAAGCTGAATTGCTAGTCACCAGACAAAAACCAAACAAATAGGCTCTTCAATGTGACCAACTTTTCTGTTCCAAGGTTGACATGACTGTTTGCTTCTACACCACCTAAAATCTGCAAAGTCTGACTTGTAATTGGAACAATAGTCAATAAAAATAGTCAAATAACTAAGACCTTGAGATAACATCAACGCAGACCTCCGTTCTGTACCAAAAACATATTCTCAACTGAAACCCAAGTACCTGTGCACATATGCATCTTCATTGACCTGAACATAATATACCAACCAGGATCTATACTATACCTGTGTTCAGGAATGTAGACTTTTGGGCCTAAATTTAAATAGCCTTTTGAATTATAAACAATTTAAAGACAGGAAAATGATTTTTTCAGATACTTTTGTTAAGCTGGAGAAGTCCTCTGAAATTGTATGGGCAACTTTGACTGGAGGGCTGGTGAGGTGGGCCAGGAAAAGAGTGAAGGGATACTGGGCACATGCAGAGGAACAATATCAATATTTAATTTTCATTTTATCAATACGATCCATTATACCATATGCTGTACCTGTGCTGTTGGTTCCTCTACACCCGTCATTTGGTACTTCTGCATTCTTTCAAACACGGAATGATCTGCACAACCTCCTTGTGGTCCGTATTTATGAGGATACTCTAAAATGTGGGGAAAATTAGGTTATTTTGATTTTTCAACTTCTGAATATTTGTTTAAATTTTACTTTTATGTATAAAATGTGAGAGTATCAGACAGATTAATTTTCAATTAGTGTCCAACATTGCTCACTTGATACTTCAAGGAAAAATCTCTAATCTTCAGAGATTGCAACTTGAGTATGCAACAGAACAGCTGAAATTTTTCCCCAGAAGCATTCCCAATAAGCCACCAACTTTACTTCATTTTTCTTAGTTTATTTCACACAAATGAATCGTGACACATAAAATACTAAAAAACATGGATAGTTTTACAATGAAAAATAAGCTTTAAAAGAGTGAACTGAAGCTTTTACCTGACCAGACTGTTTAGGATTTTGATTCTACTGCAAGAGCTGATGACATCATTGGCCATTAAAGCAGTATTCCTTACATTATTTTGGTCCTAATGATGTCATGAATTCTTGCTGAAGAAAGGAAGACCTTGAAATCAGGTCCTGGTAGGTAAGAGGAAATTATCTTATTACTTGTTTTAAAATATCGGTCATTTTTAATTCTACCCGAGGCATTCTATTACTGTCAAGTAACTAGCGTTGGATTTTACAATCCTTCAGTTCACTTCTGAACTTTCTTACTATATTGGAGCAACCTTATTCTCTAATCAACCCACAAATTTAAGTCTCACTAACATGAATATGACACAACAAAACCATCACTAGTGACTACTCAACATAAGCTTAAAATTAAACATTCAAATATATATATTTGCTCTTATGGGAAGTGTATATTTTATATAAACTAGGCCATAAGCAGAACCATTTTCTTACGAATTATCAGAATTGTACAAGTGGGTATTATCTCTTTTTACAAAGGAAAAACTACGATGCAGAAATTTAGTGAGTTGCTCACAGTCGCACAGAAAATCTGTGGCAGCGATGGGAAAAGAATTCATGTCCTAATTCCCTGTCCCATTTTCCAGCAACTGGACCACGTTGCCTGAAGATTGTGCTATAGTGTCCCAAGTTGAATAGTCTGTAGAATATTTACAGGTTGCACAGGTTGTATTTTATAACCTCTCCTGCCATCTACAACAAAAATTAAAAGAACCTTACAAGTCATATGGTACTTTAATATTTCAAAACACTTTCAGAGCTGTTGGGGAACAATTCAACATCTTGGCCCTAGACTGAATAAGTACTTCAAATTGTAACAATAGGATTTTCAATGATTTATGAGCATTAGTGCTAAACTGAGCAAAAAAATCTCCAAAAACCCATGTTTGGAAAATATAAGAATATGCTGACATAAGGGCATGTTCTTCCCTATAAATTTGTAACTCAAATAAGAAAAATAAAGGTTAAGTTAACAAATAATTTAGGATGCTTTTTTGTGATGTAGAACAAAATGTATGAAAACCCAAGTGAGCAAGGGTTCAAATTGGAGAACACCAGACCAGAGACTGAGATGACCATCATGAAATGGAGAGCTTCCCAGTACAACAGAAGTCGGTAACTTGGACCCCTATCTGTTCCATTTTATTGTGTGTTATATATGTAAAACTGTAAATGACAATGATTTTGTCTGAAATTTACAAAGAAAAAACTGATTAAGCCTACACTGGGAGGACTCATGCCTCAGTTTCCCACCTTACAGAGCCATTCTGGTTTTACTGGGTGTATCAGTAAATACAGCTTATTGGTCAGTGTCTTTGGTAGAGTGTAACCATACGTTATGTCTACAGTTAGGAGTGCTTTACTGGTCAGTACAAGTATACCAGTATACTACACCAGCAAAGTGCTCCTAGCGTGGAGGCAATTTACATCAGCAAAGCTATGCTTTTACTGATACAGCTTATTTTACACCCCCACCCAGAGCAAAACTGATACTGGCAAAACTGTACTATTACAATTGCATCTACACTTGGAGCTTTTACCAAAAGAGCTAAGTCAGTACGAGATCACACATTGAGGGGACACAACCAATAGAGCTATGCTGCTGAAAGTCTAATGTAGACATGGCCACACTGTGCTTTAAAAAATGAAAGTTTTGTGGGGAAGCTGAGGGAGAAACACAAGATACAGAATTACTACAATCTGATTGTTAATGGAAACTAAGCTACAACTGTTATAACTTCAAAGTCTATTTCCAACTGCATCATATCCCTAGAGTAGAGAATCCAGATCAATGCCACAAAACTAGTTTGTTTTCTGGGGCATAAATCACTGATACTACAAAGCAAAGAATAAAGCATTTACCCTTAAACAATGTTGACTAAACAAAAGTAGTTTGTTTCAACAATTTGAAATGCAAGATGGCAGCGTGCTCCTGTTCTAAGAGAAAATGTGCTTCCTGAGAGGAGAATAGGGACATGGTACAGTACAACTGTAGGTGGCACCCACTACATGTGCAGTAGCCACTTCATAGCTACAAATAGTGGTATTTACTTTTTAGAGAAAATGTTGGCTTTTAAAATAGGAAGACTAGAGAAGAGGATGGGAACCTTATGGGAAAAGGAGATGCAAGAATGGGAATATCATCTGCACAAAAAGGAAGTGAACGGTGACAGACATGCCTCTAGGACAAGGAACGCTATTATCTAGACAATGAGCGTGAACCGATGACATTTTCTTTAAATAGCAGCTAACTCTATAGTAGGCAAGAATGCAGTGTTTAGACTTACCTCTACAGATTTCCTTCTAGAAATTCAAGCCACTGCCATTTATTGTATATTTAACTTCATTTTAAAACTATTTTGAAATTTGCAATTTCAAAGAAAAAAACATTTCTATCCACTTGCATTAAAATTCTATTTGAATGTTTTAAATGAGTTCAATAAATCATCCTATTCCATGGAAATAAACGTAAGGTGGGAGCCTTCTCTTTCAAATCCCAATTCCTGATGTCAAAGGATCAAGTCAAGATGAATGTTAGAGTCAAATGGAAGTATATCATACAGAGAACTCTAGTTTTAAAGATACAGTATTTCGTATATATTGTGGTTTTAAATTAAATCTTAAACGGATATATGTATGTAAAAAACTTTGATTAGATTATTAATAACAATAATAATAACTAATTAGCATAGATCTTCTTATAGCTAACATGTTCCTGAGTTAGATACTTTCAGCAAGATTACTGCACTATTGAACAGCTGAGTGAGCTTTGCTTAGTCTGCACATTTCAAGAAATACTGCTTTTCAAAGTTAGGTTGAGAAACAGCACTTTTTTATTGATAAACAAGTGTCCATTAGTTTAATACACTGTTAATACTGTGGGATCTATTGTCCATATCTCTTTGGAAAATATGGCTGCATTACAAAAAATGTCTGGAACACTCGCATCTTCTTTTCAATGGAATATCACAACTCAGAACAGCAATATTTTGTTCTATGGGAAAACCCCTGAACTAGACAAGTGCACAATATTTATATTTCTACCCAGCCTGGGCAATAGTCTATCTGATGTTTTATTGTTTAATACTGCCAGTTGCATATTTGTGAAAGAGGGGAATTGAATTTACAGGGAAACTTTAAATAGGCTGTGCCTTAAATCCAATTATGTTCATAATCAGCTTTAGTCACATGATGTAATGAAGGTCACAACTTAGTTTTTGTTGCAAATCTAATATCGGCAAAGGTTATCGTAAGGTATGTTTCTTTTAAAGGTCCTTAAATACAAATCAATCATCTATTGGAGGATTTCATTTTCTGATGGTGGGATAGTGAAGGAATAGATGGGGGCGCAAGAATAAGAACAAAGCAAGCAGTCCTGGATCATTCTCAAGTGACACCCAGACACCAATAATTCACGCTGAAATGCACCACATATTCCTCCCCATACCCTTTTCTACCCCAGACACAACGTTACACACACTTCCACAATCACAGAAGAAAAAGTTAGTAGGCAGTCAAAGAAAAGACTGAACAGAAAAAACCTAGTATTTCATTTTCTATCTTAGGATTTGAGATGAATACTTAAGCCCTAAAAGAAAAGTTAACACTAGAACACACTGAAATTTACAAAGCCACATAAGATTACTTTTGCTGTAGACCCAAACCAAGAATATTTTACTATACATATGATATTTCTGTTAATCCACTGTCTATGACTTTAAAGAATATGGCTAACAAGCTTTCCTCACCTGAGAGAAATAGTGTATGTAGCACACAGACTTTTAAGAAATAGTTGTTATATAATGTGTTTCATGTTGAGAGATTTTAACACAATTTTTCTCTATCAAAATGAAAACTTTCAAAGATAAGCTATTTGATTTGTGGCCCAGTCCCCAAATATAAAGATGGCTGTAAATTGTCTTGTTTGCAAGACGAATGACAACACTAGTCGTAAGTTCTCCAACTTATTTTTTACTTTTATTAATAAATGAATAAAGAACAGGATACTTGTGGTGCTTTAGAGACTAACATTTATTTCAGCATAAGCTTTCGTGGGCTAAAGCTCACTTCTTCTTCTTCTCCTGTTCCTTCTGTGGATACAGACTAACACGGCTGCTACTTTGTAACCTTATAAATGAATGTTCAGTGGCTGGCTGTTGCCAGGGTCTTTTAAGCTATTTTTTACCGGATTTTGGTAACTTTCTGTAAACTAGTGACAATGTCACCACAAGACCTTTTTTACCTCAATTAGGCATGTCAGCTTCCTCATAAGTGCTCTTATGTTCTGTATTTTTTATATTATTAGAGAGGAGAGGTTGAGACTTAAGCTGTGTCTTGCAATAAATCAAATATTTTTAAAATTGCTGACTTTAGCATTAATTTTTCAAAAAATCCTGGTTGTTTAGGATGATTTTATTGGACTATGTTGCCTGGCTCCAAGATAAACCTCAGACTTGAATTTCTAGTGACCTAAAGAGTGACGACCAATAGAAAGTGATGACCAACAGGTCATCTGATGTACCAGCAGATTTCACATACACAATCACCACACAATCTTATTGCCACTCTGCAGGGGTGGCAATAGAAACCCCTTCCTTAACAAAAAGCCAC